AAAGGTCTCTATGAATACTTTTTCAGATTAAAATTTAAATCAAGTTATGATAAACGTGCAGGAAAAGAAATCTCACGTTCGACTGTGTAGTTCAACGTGTTATGAAATATGTACTCAAATCATGCATTCCTTCAGTATTTTACACATTTTAAGCTTTTTATCTACCTCGCATCAACATTCAGCTCAGGATCACCAATTAACCTAATAGACATGTCTTTGGACTGTGGGAGGAAAACCTAACAGGCACAGAGTGAACATGCAAACGTGATTCGAGAACCAGAAACCTTCTTGCTGTGAGGCTGCAGTGCACCACTAACATTATATATACACTTTTTAAAAACATGGAGGCAATTATTGTTTCCACTAGTGTCTGCACATAAAAAAAACCAGAATGACAGATCACATTGTACTGCTATTTTCATCAGTGCGTTTTCTCCTGTTATCAGGGTGAAACGTGGGACACTAGTGTCATACTTGCCAAGATGGAAATAACAAGCAAAGGCCTTACTTTAAAATGACTACTGTCACCAATGTTTGCTAAAAGTGCACAGTTAAAGATTGCTACCACTCCAGCAAATGGGATTATGCTTGATTCAAATGTCATTGCAGTGCCACATCTCTTAAAATGCCACTTTAAAAATAGAGACAGGCCTATTGCTCGCAGGCTGAATATTTTGTGTTGAATTGTGATTATGTGTGTGCTGGTGCCCATTAGTGTCTCTGAGAAACATAAACTTCTCAAGACCATTTCAGGACTCTGGCCTGGCCTAACAGTGCAATGAGGGTCTGCTGCCAGGGATTACAGGATGCAATGTGATAGGTCTTCACATTTGCTGAGGGTCAAGCAGGGCGGAGGCTGCCACTGTTACTGGCTCTGCAATCAGCTGCTCACATGATGCATGACATCTGATTTACAAATCAAATTCCTCTGGCCAGCAGAACTCAACTGCACAGGGCTCTTGAGAGGTCAACAGCTTAAAATGGGGGAGGAAAAGCCGAGACGGTAAAATAACTTGAATAGAGTCACGGGCTGCTGCAACATCCCGAGCAAATGTGTGAGAAACCTAAGTAAGCTCAGTGTGGCTGCCAGCTGAGCTGCCAACAACCTGGCCTGGTTCTGCACAGCAGCTGTGCTGCTGCAGGTACACACATTTACGAACACATGCTCTTTTCTACCAATGGGTCATTGCATGTATTAAAACTAGCCGACTGGAATTAGGACGGCACAATGTTGCCATTCAACACTGTAGTTTGGCAAATTTAGCCCAATCTTATCAGTTTTGTGAATTCTACACTAACACAACATCCCTGTTGCACTGAGCATGCACTGAGATGATTAAATATTAAATATCAACATAGTGTAATTTTCATTTTGTGGTTTATTGAGAGTTTTTGGGCCTTGTTATGTGAAAATTTGAAATTGTCATAGCCAAAAATCAAACATAAGGAAGTCTACTTGACACCCAGAGAATTGAATCCCTATTGAACGGGCAGATCGAGGTCCCGACACAACAAGCCAAAAGGCTCCGACTTGAACTTTGTGTCTGTCTGCATGCTGTTACCTCTTCATATGTACAATGTTCCCAACAATGGTGACAGTAAATGGGGGACAATGGCCGTGAACTAGTTTGTGGAAACATGATTGATAAGTAGGTCATGTCTTGTTGTCACCATGTGAGGCATGAACTCAACCCTGCCCAAGTGTTCAAGCTTTAGCAGGGCTTCTCCGTGTATTCAACTATTCTTCAGCTAATTCTTTACGTCTATCCCAACTTCACATTTTCCCTCCTAGATGGTTCAGAATTTAATTGCAAATTTACATCTGTAATGTCACGGCTTTCCTTTGAATTTTTTTTTTTTTTTTTAAAAAGTTTTTTGCAGAAACATTTTACATTAAAATTCACATGACTTGATTCTGTGGTTTTGTCTTCTTACGTCTAATTCGATAAAGCCACTTTTCCCACACTGTACCATATTACAAAATAAATAATTTTATTTATTTTTTTACAATCACAGAACTTGTCAAGCTTGTCAAGTTGAAACAGAAGCTGCTGCCTTAAGCTGGTCCCTCGAGGGCACTGGCTGCAAGATTTTCAAAAGAACCAACGTTAAAGTCAGGGCACTAAATTCTGATTTATGAGATCTATGTGCTTGGAACAATAGAACAGACAGACATGAGCATATCTCTTAACTTCCATAAAACAGTGTTTTTAAGTCCAATTCTTTAAAAAAATCAAATCTGGTGTTCACTGGGAATGAGACTGGGTGTGTAAGCCACGAGTAGACGCAAGCAGTTCTAGTGTTGCGGTGTCAATCTACAGAAGTCTACTACGTGGCCTGGTTAATGCTGACAGGATGACAAGTGCTGTGCCAAACACAGAGCAAGCAGTCATGAGATAAAACAGCATTGCCTCCCAAACTCTGCTGGCAGGCAGCTGATGAGGTCCCCTCAGGGCTCGAGGAGGCTGAAGAGCAGCGAGCACGAGGAGGCCAGTGGTCCTAATCTCTCTGAGAAATCCAGACAGCTAGGAGAATGTGCAAACTAAGGCAGGCTTTACATTACTGCGGTCCGTGACTGGTATTCGTCAGGAGATTTCAAGTGTGCTTGCCAATGTGGCAGAACCCCAACACCCACACTCATCAATGCCCTGCTCCCAATAGGGTGCCAGCTTTGCCACTCTAGGAATTGTCAGCTTTCTGACATGTAGGAGGAGGAGGTGGTGGTGTAAGCAGACATGGGTAACTGACGGTGTGGCACAATGCATCCATGGGTGAGACCATCCAAAAATAGAAAAGCAGCCTTGTGGGTTATGTGAAAAGCAAACTTGAACAAAAGAAAGTGGCCAAAAAAGCTTTGGTGGAGCTTCATGTTTATATTTTAAACTCCAAGCCCAAGCATTGCCTTTGGGTGGGTGTTTGGGGACTGGGACAAATGTACTGTGCACCGCATGGAATTTCCAGCAGGAAACAGAAGGAGTCGTTATCTGAGACACGTTATGAACAATATTGTGAACATCATGAGCGTGAGCGCAAGTGATTCAAACAGCTACGATATCGCAGGGTCATTTACAAGTCTTCTTAAATCTTCCCCAAATGTGAATAAAGCAACAGAAATGCCCGGAAGCCCAGAGTAAAATAAAAACAGCTGTTTCTCTAAGAGGTGGGCACGCATGACCGTGGACTGGTTCCGTTGTCATGCTGCGGGACGCAGACTGTTCAAACTGTAGCAGCGCTCTCGCTAGCAAGCGGCGAGCCTCAGTCCGTTTTCGATGCGGGTCTTAAGCTATATCCTTCACGGGAAGGAAAAACGTACGGACCACACTCGTTTCTTTAACTTCCGAGTGGCTTTTGTTTTAACGTAAACACCCGCTTCATTTAGTCTCCACCAAAAAGGAAAACAACAACCAGGCGCTACACACTGGCAAAGCGGGCGATGCTAACCAACCAAGCTAGCTCGCTAGCATGCCCCAGACAAAAGCCTGAATGAAGTTCCTATGGGTGCAAACACCATCCAGGTATCGCTGCTCCGCCAGAGGTGCAAACGCTGGGATTCGAGCACACGCATCGTTCCTAAACCCCCTGACAACGTTTCCCTCGTAAGAAAACTGGAGATTTGTGCTTACCCCTCCTGGTCCAGGTTTACTTTCTTCTGTGCTCTGTTTGAATGGTGTGTTGTTGTAGGAGGGCGTCCTGTTCCGGGGTCACATCCCTCCAGTCGGCAGAGCTACGGCGAACTGACTCAACGCAGCGACTCTCCTGCTGGCTCCCCGGTACTCCTGCCGGCCACCAGGGGCGCCACCGGCTCAGCCATCATTGCACACTCATCAGTGGAGTCTGAGCCGTGAAACGTGGTCTGGGTCCGACAGCCGGGTCACCAAAGGGTAAATTCGGATCTCTGTATGGCTGGTCTTTTTAAAGAAATAAATAAGGTGATGCCGGAATTAATACAAAGTAGTGAGAATGTCCAGAAGGTATTTCTAGCTCTTCATAAGTTAAAGGAATCATAAATTGTAAAAGAATATATTCGTTTAGGTCTATAAACTCAAGTTAAATTACATTCATGTGAGTTTGTGAGCATAAAATTATTTATTTATTGATTATTTATTTTTAAAATTATTTTGTTTAATTTTATTTATTTATTAATTTTTATTTTGGAGGTTAACTGTGGTGTAGACTCTTTTTTTCAATACTACACTAACAAAACAACAGGACAAATTAGGACAAGACAGACAAACTGTGCATTTAAATACAAATAACATACATTCAAATAAAAAAAACAAAGACACAGGATAATGTTGAAGGTGTGTTTGATGTGTGGTGCGTAAAAGCTGAACACAGGCATTACTTTTGTTAGTTTTTGGCTCAAGAGAGAGAGAAGAAGAAATAAATTAAACGTAGTTAATAACAATAATCATAACCATTATAAAATAACAAAATACTAATAGCCATCATTATCATCATCATCCTATTTCCTATTTCCATTGTCATCGTCATCTTCTTTTTTGTTAGTATTATCATATAACATATTATCATCATACATATGGCTATTAAAGTATAAATGAGTCTCTAACTACAAGTTGGAACCTTATAGCTTTATATAGCTATACTTATATCTACACAAGTATAGCTTTTATAGATTGTGATTATAATTAGTTATAATTATAACTATATTAAAAAGTTAAAAAGAAAAATAATACTAATAAAAATAAAAGTAAAAAAAGGAGTCACCTGGGTCAAACAGGCAGGGATTATGTTGTAATATGTTTTTAAATGAGACTCACCGTCACACATCTCCGAGTCACTTCCGTGTGTAATAGTTTTTCAATAAGATACCTCAGGCTGTTCATCACCTGTTTTGTGTCTGGATTGTTCATTACATGCAAAGGTTTTTACTTCTGTTGCGGTGAAATTGGGCCATATATGCCCTATAGGCAAAACTGAATGTGACACTCCTGATTTAAGAGAAAGCTCACAAAATTCTTTTGCAAAGAACCACTCAGTTAGTTTTGTAGCACTTTTAATTGATGTCCAATGAAAAATATAATTTTCAAATGTTTTTGTTGAAAAACAAAACAAAAAAACAACCATCAATTCAGATTCTTACTTTTCAAAAAGACATTCCTGCAAGAAACTTATTAGCCAATTGAATAGAAAAGTTGATACTGCTTTACCACTCTCAAATATTTCGATGAAATATGATCAAGTAAGAGAGAAAAACACAAAAAAGCAGTCATGGTTTTACATAGCTTCCACAACATACTCATACTTAATACAGATAATCAGGCCAGACTGCAATATCTGTGACCAACATCTACACCAAAACAATAAACAGATGCGGACACATTTGTTGGACTTTATCACATCTGCAAAAACCACTGTACATTATCACAAATCACTTTATTGCCACTTCCTCAAATATGGAAGCTAAACTGCGAATGTTTCTAATAAACAAGGGGGCTACTGTGTATAAGGAGGTACTGAAACTAGTAATTTATTTTTGTAGTGGTGTTGCACACCAGACTGATATGACCTAAAGAATAGTTGGAGATAGGCAAGTCCCTCAGACTTGAAATGCTGATGAATATTTAGGGAGAAGTGGAACATGGGGGTGACTTTGGTGGATTTGGCCTTTTTCCAATCAATCTGCCTATTTGAAGTTGCAAAAACGAGCGTAACATTCAGCTAACAAATGGCTTGATTCTAGAAAGTTCTCCCTTTACACTCTGTTTACTGACATCGTGTTTACCTGCTCATAACAACTGAAGCATAAGTAAAAACAGGATGCAGAGAAAAGTCTATACTGCATCTCATAATTTTTAGCTGCACGCATGTCAATCAGGGCAGAGCCTGAAACTGATTCAGCAATATACTTTACAATTTGCAAAATAAAAAAAACACACACAACAAAGAGTAGCCCATTAATTCATTTTTCCTGACTTAAACATGCAGTGCTTAGTGGAGCCCACATTGAAGGACACTGGCGAGCTGTATTTTAGGTCTGTTCCACAGTGAATCGCTCAGTAGTTTAAGGTACCTTAAATCCTCATGCTGTGTAATCTACACCTACACTTGCTCTAACTGTACAGAGACTTGTACAAAAAGTAGAGACCTTTTAAACCGTTTTGCAAAAATAAAAGAGGCTATAAATAGCACATTATTTTCTTTCATTCAAGTGGACCCTGCACGACTTACGGAATGACATACAGCATGTAAAGTAATGCGAATGCACCACAAAATGAAATGACACAGCATACGAGCTCACTTTAAATAAACACCATATTTTACAGCATCAGATATGTCAAAGTGTGGTTGTGCTTGACACTGCAAGCATGAAATCGCCCTCATGGCACCTTGTACACCCATTAAAAAATGCAATGGAGATCACAGTTTAAGTGCATATTTAAATATTAGAGAACACACACACAGACACACACACTCACAGATGCGTACTGCTCTTTCTAAGATCATAGACCTAGTCCAGGTTTACACTTTCAAAGAAGGCATGACATCAATACTGCATTTTGAGAAAAACATCCACAAGTCTATGGCTTACATGAGTCTACGGATTGTCTTATTCTGGGACCTGCTGAAGCTTTTTTTTCTGTTCTTTTCACCAAACATATATGAGATCTTTGCCTTGCGCATAAAAAAAATCGTATATTTCTCGAGAAAAAGGGAATAGAAAAATAAAATAGAATTGTAACTTTTATAATCTAAAATAAAACTGATTACACTTTCATGGTGTCTTTTAAATATGACGCTGGAGTCAGCAGACAGTCTGCTTAGCTTAGCATAGTTAAAGCAAAGCAGCTAGTCTTTCTCTCCTGTGCGTATCCCTGTGAGGTCTTTCCTCCCACGGTCCAAAGATATGCTTGTCTGATTAACCGATCATCCAAAATTGTCCATAGATGTCCATGGATGCGAGGAGGGACATTACCCCGCCCCTTTCTCAATACCACATAATATTAGCTCCACCTTCCCTAGTACCCTAAAATGGATAGGATAAACCTAGTATACTCAAATCTCACTTAAGCTAAAAGGCAAGTAAGTGTATTTCTTAAAATAAGAGTAGTATCAGGGTACCTTTAGCTATAGGTACACACAGCCTGGTACACAGGCATGTTTTCAAAATAAAAGTCCTACATTTTCTTAGACTATACTATAAAATGCTTCATGTGTATTGGCACATATTCTTCTTCAAGGCAACATTAGACAACAATGTTAGAACGACAAAAAGCATAACCTCTTTTTGAAATATCCTTTGCGACCTAACAAGTACATCAGCACTCATTAAGTAGTTACCACAGTTAAATAAAAATACAATAATGATAATATATATATTTTTTAAAAAAAGACACGTTTTTGCAAAGATACAGTTGAAATGAGAGGAAATAACCTCATAACAGCTATCGTGGGTTGTAAACCGTACGAAAGTCTTGAGGTGAAACTGCTGTTCCCTGCCGAACACAGCCTCAAGTCATCATAAAGTTAGTTTGCAGCTTGCTCCCTGTTGAGTAATGCAGTCGATGAGATGAACTTTCTGTTTCGGTGATTCATGACACTTTGCATGAGCAGGTGGTTTTCAAGTAGCAATTTCAGCAAATCAAAAACAGGTTTATTCTCTGGGTTGAAATGCTCCTCGTGGCAAAGACATTCCACTGATATATGGGAGGAGGATGAGTGCGATGGATTTTCTTCACTGTGAAAATACTTGTGTGTGTGGAAGTGATGCTCCAGGATTATCTCATTATCTTTGGAAGCCTCTGCTTAGTTGTTATTTACCACATACAGGCCACTGAGATGTAAACGTTTGCTAAAGAGCTTTTCAGTCTTTGAATTCCTTCTGTCAAGTAAAATATTCGACTGTGTTTATGTGTATAAGTTAAAAATCCATGTATTTGGCTGGGCCTCATGTTTCATTGGTTCAGTGTTCTTCATGGTCTATTATCTTTGGCCAGTGAGTGCATCATCCAGTTGACCTTGGTCTTCCAGCTTTCCCGCAAGGCTTCGTTGAACTTTACTTTGAAGTTCTTCAGCGCCTCGTCCTCTGTTTTGCCCAGCGCTAAAGAGTCCTTTTAAAAACAAGAAACCACTAATTATTAACATTGTTGTCATTCTCCACATAATCATGAACTGCTACATCATAACTGTGGCGTACCTTTAGATACTGTATGTCTTTGAAGGACGTGAGTTCAGGTAGCCCCGCTGCCTTCATCATGGCGAAGAGGTTGACAAACAGCGTCCCGTTCCGACACAAGATCTTATAGGCCCGCTCACAGTACTCCCTGAACCTGATGCAAAAGATGCAAAAACAAGCACGTTTCATAAGTTAGCAGAACCCCAGAACAATCCATCCATCCTTTACTGCTTATTCAATTCAGGGTCACAAGGTGCCTGGTTCCTATGCCAGGGTACACGGTCTATTAGAGCCAAGACAGACAACACAGACTCCACACAGAAAGGCTCCAAGAGGACAGTGCTTGCCACTGCACCATTGTGCCACCGTCTATAACTATAACTATGTACGTGTGTTAGAGTTACATGTTTTTATTGTACCTCTCAAATTTCTCACTGTTGTTTGTTCGTCCTTGCTGGATCACGTGGACAAAGTCATACGTCAGGATAAAAGGCACGCGCTCCCTGTTGATCCCCAGTTTCCGCTTGAAGTTGCCCAGGAAGTGCCCAAAATCAATGTGGAACAGCTAAAAAGCAAAGTCTCACTTTAGTCACTACGTCTCCCAAACTGACCTAAAGAATTTGACTCCAGCATGTTTCACCAAAAAATTATTAGACTATTACAAAGCACTTTTTTTTTTACCAACTCCAACCAAAAACATTACACATCAATCCGCAACATAATTTTGCTGAGATTCAAACGTGCAGTAAATCTCACCTGTCCAGTTTCCCTGATCATGATGTTGTCATTGTGACGATCTCCAATGCCCAAGACGTAAGTAGCTACACAGTAGCCAGCGCAGGACAGTGTGAACTCCTCTATCGCTTGATCAAGTTTGTCCCTGGTGACATGAAAGGTCACAGAAACGAGGAAGCAGAACGTGAGCGAGTTGTGTTCTTACAGTGCTTTCACACTTCTCTTATATTTCCTATATCAGCCTGCATTACACAAACGCGGCCATGAAGCAGAGTGTCATCGGTGACAGAGCGTATGAAATGTTCAAAGAGGAGTTCCTGTGGCTGATTAAAGCAGCCTAGACGTGCGGAGGGTTCATTGTGTTTTTTATACTAATTTTCTCGCGCTGCAGTGTCCGGGCTAATTATCTTTGTATTCTGTGGGGCCATCAGCCTGGACACACCAACGTGAAGTACAGAGGATTATTCATTACTTCTTAAAGGAGCTTTTAGAATAGACAAGACCTTCAGACTGTCTGGCATCAAATAAAAATCTACTCTCATTTTATGCTGCTAAAGATGCAGCCAGCCGGGGCACTTTGTGCTGCTCTATCCGGTTTTAAAATGTTACAAGGAAAAAACACTTTACTGTTCACTGCTCACAAGAAGTGAAATATTTATATCAAACTATGCAAGTTTTCCTGAATGGGACTGGGAATAGGATGAAGGCTTGTGTGCCTTAAACACCCTTTTTTTCATATTCTTAAGTCTTATTTTCTGTCCTTCCCCTCCCCCTTCTTTTCCACATGAACAAAAATGGATAATTAATCGCAAAAATATTATTGTTTTACTTAAAAAATATCAATACCCATCTCTGGCTCAATATACGCGGCTACTTTGTGCTAAAATCAAGAGGAGTCGATGAAATGATGAGATGCCGCTTAGGAAAATTCACATGATGTTATCGCGAATTTCAAATTGAAAAACTTCTTTCTTGACACTAGACAAGTCGGCGCTGTCCTAGGAGGACTTGGGGAAGTCCCCACAACAACCTGAGGGAGGTTTATGGGGGGAAAAGGGTGCATATGCGGATTAGCTCGCCCCACTCCTGCTCTGTGCCTTCTGTGTGGTTTTATGTCATGCTTGGCTGTGTGTATAATGCACCTAATTTGCTTTGCTTTTTGAGGTTAAATAGGGTCATCACCTCTACAGAGTGTCTACACCAAATAAGATAACAATCTGAGAGCTTCTGAGAGTTGCCATTGTGCCAGAGTTCATCGTACTCACTCGGGATTCTTCGATTTGAGCCAGTTAAGCAAGGCGTCCTTGTTGAAGGCAGCGGTAGCGGCGCTGTTGCTGCTGTTACGCTGGATGTTGGCAATTGTGTCAGAGTTCTTCACAACCTCGATGAGCCCCATTTTGTTCCCGGTCGACAGGCAGCCGTACGGGATCATCCTGTGTTTGCCAAGTCGAAAAATGAACAGCGTTAAAGCTGGCGGACAAGATTTCCCCGTGCACAAGAGGCAATTGCTGTAAGAACCAGCTCCTACCTGAGATCCAGACCTTCTTTCTTCCACAGATTCTCCATGAGCTGGATCATCTGCAGGGTCAGCATGTCTTGTCGAAGGTCTAAAGGTGACAAGGAGAAATTGATATATCTAATCCTAACTTGTCTCTTGCATGACTCGTTCCAAACCCACAGTTTTTATCTTCCCAGCAGATTTGAATTTGCAAACCAGCCCTTAAACTAAAACAGGCACCTTGAAAAAGGCACGTTCGACCTTCTTGTCTCTTACCATCTCCATTTTTGAAGATAATGCCCACCATGTCTCCTTCAACTGCGGGATTCTTGAACATCAGCCAAAGTGGCTTCATCTTGGAGTCCATAAATCTGCATCTATCAGTACTGTAACAGCAAAAACGCTCATGTTAAATTTCATCCTTGTACATATATTTTTGCACAATAACTGATATCCTTTGTGAGCTGTTGTATAAAAAAAATTTTTTTTTGTCCAGGACGACACTGACAATGCGCTCATATGTTTGTAGGAGGGAGAAATGAGAGTAAGTTGCTGCAATCCTGAATCAACCGAAGAGTTAATTTCTCCGTGTACCACTTAAATGTTTTGTTTTTTTTTATTCCGTAAAGCCAGAAAAGGAGCCAAAGTGGCCTTTGCAAAATCCAATAAGGAGGTCAATAATGCATAAAACAATTATGCTCTCTTGTGTGCGTTTGCATTTGTGTGTTTGTCTGGGCCACTAACCAGATCTCAGAGAGGATGATGCTCGGGTTGAGTGGTGACAGAAGGTCTGACAGGGCCTCCAGGTAGGACTCTTGTCTGATACACTGCTTCAGGTCCTCTGCCGTCACCTTCTGGGAGCCCAACTTGACAAAGTCACTCAGGGCCTTCATTTTGCCCAGAGCCTCATTCTGCGTGTGTGAGAGTTAACAAAGAGACTGAGAATCAGTTCAAAACACACAAGATCAAAGCGAAGGTGAGTAAGAATCAGGAGGTGATTACCTGTTTGGTTAAGAGCTTGATGTGATGGATATTTCCCCTGCAGTAGGCCTCGAGAATCAGGCCAAAGCGCAAACCCACAGATGCCACATGAGTCTCTGACCTACAATAGACACAAATCTCCAGTCAAACAAAAAGCTGACTCGATCTTGTTTTTCTTTCTGCTCCCTTTTTTCCAACTAGCTTGTATTTTTTAAAGCTAGCCCCTTCTCACTCACCTGAGATGCCAAAACAGAAAATGTCCGATCCTCCTGTTGGACAGTGCACGCTCTAACAAGAAAGTGGTAAGGTCGCAGTCCAGGTAGGACTCGTACTTCAGGACCTGGACCAGCTGGATTAGATAATGAAGCAGCTCATCATCACTGTGTGCAGAGAAATGTGGCTTATGCGGTTAACAGTCACAACACAGCATGCCTGGCACTGTAAGCTTCTGAAACAGATGTGTGTGTACCTGAGCTTTCTGAGGCATCTGATAGTGAAGGAACGAACCGCTGGGTCGGGAAAACTGTAGTCTAAGAGCTCCAAGGCGTGGATGGCAGGGACGTCTGGCCAGTTCCTCAGTAAATTCACCATCTGAGGAGAATCCAATAATTATTTTCTAACATGATGAGAAAAATCAAGGTGATTTTGACAATTTGAAGATTAAAGCAGGCTGCTGATGTTAATTCACAACTCGATATTTCTTTAAGCGGCAGTGACATTACTATAATTTTGCATGATTCACTATAAAAAATAAAACATTCCTTAGTTTTGAAGCTCCAAAAACCTGTAAAGTCACATATTTTCTTGCTCTTGTTACAACAAAGGTTTACTGCAAGACCTCTGTGGTTGGTAAATATATCCAACATAATATTATAAATAAATATTATATTACATAGATCAGAGCTCGTGGTTGCCTGTTTTCTAGATAGAACTTTATTTTGAAAGTGTAAAATAATGAAGTACAGCTGGCATTCATGGACGTTTGCTAAAACAAAATAAAACACCCAATATAAACTATTAGTTGTCTGTATATAAAAAACTAAGAATACATATACAATATAATAATATAATACAATACACTACAAAGTATTTCTCCCAGTTTTAATCAATAATCCTATATAGACTATCATTTCAGATGGAAAATTTGACTTCTTTGAGCTTTTTTGTGATTCGTTCACTCCTTGTTTGAAATTTTGGCCACTTTAACCCTTAAAGCTAAGCTAATCATCTGAAACAAAAGGTTTTACATCTCCAGATCGACTTACAGACATCAGTGAAAAATACAAAGAATAAATAACGCTTTACTCGTACCTGAACTACATCCTCACGCTTATTCCACTTGGTGATGAGGAGGAGCTTGGACAGACTTTCAGGATAATGATCGCGGACTTCGGTGCGGAGCTTCCACAGGAGCTCTTTCTCGTCCTCGAAAAACTCGGTGTAGTTTTTGTTGTCCATGATTTGTTTGAGCTTAGAGTGCTACAGAGAGCACATGATCCACACACAAAGTTATTAAATTTTCTGCTTTAAAAACAAAACACAAATTCTAACTATGAAAAATTTGTCACATGTGAGTCCTACCTCGTCTTTAGTGGCTAAACTTAGATCACCGTTCCTCTCCATGTCACATATCTGAAAACACATGAGGATCCAAATATGTACTTCAGCCTCAATAAACATGAAACAATAATTCTGTGTAAAATTAAAATGAAATACATAAAATCATAAAATGACTTATTCAAACAATTCATCATTAAAGAAAATGTTTTTTTGCTATAAACTGAATGTATACAAATCCTAGAAATTTCATTTAACTATATTCCATTAAATTTAATAAAATTTTACACTGTACTTCACGTTAGTTCACCTTTTTTGTTTTAATTGTAACTTTTTTTGTGTAGTCTTTTGGGAGATAGTACCTTTTCAAGTGGAGGGTAGTAGAGGGGGTGTGGCCGGATGTTGGGGAAATGAATGAGAAGCTCAGCGGCGCTGTCCACGTTAGGGTTCTTCTCAACAGTTCCCATCGGGTTCAGCAGGTCACTTTTCTCATCTGTGATAAAAATATCATATATGAAATGATGAAATGTTCCATTTGGTGGAATCTTCTTCT